AGTAATCAGGTGTCATGCAGTAGCTAGTAAAGCAAACATTCAATGGTGATAAATCAGACACCAAAAGAAAAATATACCAAAAGAGACACAAATATCTGACAAGGTTCGGTCAATTGACCTACGTCCATAGTCGGAGATGGGCAATCTACTATGTAAAAGAGAATATAACATATCCAGAGAACAACATCTCAAAGAGACAAATACAAGTGGTAGGCTAACACTTGTCCCGAAATTCTTCCCCCTAAATAAGACTCTCAAACTCCATATTACTATATCGTGGATGCTACTAAATGAGAAGTAAGAATCCTCAATTTATAAAAGTCTAAAAAAATTTCCTACAAGAAAAAAGACTAGTCAAATATAAGAGACTTATAATTTTCTTCTAGGAAAAAGAAAACCCAAATATGATAAATATGTAGCTCTTCGATCAAGGAATAGAGAAATCAATTATATGGTAAGAAAATCAAAACAAATACCTAATAATTCCCCCCCTCTGCCTGAATTTCTGATAAATAAACTTGATCAATCTTCTTCATATGACTTTCAAAAGGTTGCATCTACAAATCTCCACCACAAAGTTTGTCTTAACGTGAGTGGCACTCCGGTTAAATTTTTCAGTCAACAATCATGATTATCGTCAAATAGGTTGCGGCTAGAACTAAACTCGCCAAGATGAACATGTCTTGAACTTCGCTCCGATACCACTTATTAGGATCGAAATAATCAGGTGTCATGCGGTAGCTAGTAAAACAAACCTTCAATGGTGATAAATCAGACATTGAAAGAGAAATATACCAGAAAAGATACAAACATTTAATGTGGTTCGGTCAATTGACCTACGTCCATAGGCGGAGATGAGAAATCACTATATAAAAGAGAGTACAACATATCGAGAGAACAACCTCATAAAGAGACAAACACAAGTAGCAGGCTAACACTTGTCCCGAAATTTTCCCCCTAAATAAGACACTCAAACCATATATGGCTACATTGTGAATGCTACTAAATGAGAAGAAAAGATCCTTAATTTATAAAAGTCCAAAATCTTTTCGTCCAAGAAAAAGGACAAGTCAAATATGGAAGACTTAAAATTTTCTTCTAGGAAAAGAAAAATTCAAATATCGTAAATAAGTAGTTCTTCCTTCAAGGAATAGCAATAGCAACAATCCAATATAATCCCACTAGTAGGATCTGGAGATGGTAGTGTGTACGCAGACCTTACTTCTACCCTGGGGTAGAAAGGCTGTTTTCGATAGACTCTCGGCTCCCTCCTTCCAAGAACTCCCCACCTTGCTCTTGGGATGACTCGAACTCACAATCTCACGGTTGGAAGTGGAGGGTGCTCAAGGAATAGAGAAATCAAATATGGTATAAAAAAAAATAAAAAAAATAAAGGCAAACACTTAACGCTGATCTAAGGGTAAACAAGCATCTTATTTGCCAAGTTTCAAGTTCGGGTTTCTTTGATGTCATTTTTGTAAGGACTTTCTTCATAAATACTTAGCATCAAAAGCAGTTGAGTTGAACACGTGATGTAAGAGAATTTGTTTTAAAAATTCCAGTGAAATGGCCTGAAAATACTTGCTTTGATCACTAATTTAAAACAATAAAAAGATTTTCTTCTCTAACATACATACCTATTTGTCACTTTGTGTTTTAAAAGAGTCGGCAATATTTAATTTTGTTAAATACTATTCCCTCCGTTTTAATTTATATGATTTATTTGACTGGATAACGAGTTTAAGAAAAAAATAAAGACTTTTAAAACTTGTGATTCTAAATAAACAATAACATTTTATGGCTATTTTTTATTTAAAATTTGTGGTGTTAAACAATTAGAGTATTTGAGTAGCTAAAAAACTTCTTATTGAGGATATAATTTAAAGTTTAAATTAAATTATTTTTAAATTTAAAAAGTAATCATCTTTTTCAAACAGATAAAAAAAGAAATTAGTTCACACATAAATGAGTAGCCAAACAACTACTATATTGGAAGGAGAAGTTGTGTTGTGGCAAGCTACTACTAAACGAGCAGAAATGCTGACAAAATGGACACACCAACAACTCCTAAAAATTCAAATGGTTAGCGGCTGCCACTGAAGTAAGTGGCAATAATCATGGCTTGAGAGCTCCCAGAAATGCGACAATTTGACACTTCTCCCTTTCTCCCGGCGCCTATCGTGGCTCCACAATCTTTTTATCAAAAAGGAAAAAGAAAACTTGGCATTGGAGCCTTCTTACTTCATAGATATCAGCTGCCAGCCTGCCACTATGGTGTAAACTTGGGAAAAAAATATTTGTTAATATCAAATCAATCCACAAAAGATAGTAGCATCATTTGTATATGTCACAGTTAATTAAGTGTAATTAAGTGCA